GAATAATATGAATTAATTATATACCATATATTTAATTTACTGCAGGCGGAATTACAAATACAATACGCATGTTACAGTAGTGTTAATGAGATCATTTAAATATTGATTATATAAATTTCCAAGTCAAATTCTCACAGATTCCATAACGAATGACTAGTTGTTCAGAAGCAAACCATCAAACTTGATGAGTTTAAAAGCTGTAACTATTGTACCTTTATTTAAGAGTCTAAAATAAGTGAATTATATGACAAGAAAAAATATCCATTTATAAGATAATGACTGAAAAGAATAACTTTGAAATTGGGATAACTTGTTCACTTAAGTTTGATAAATCTGTATTTATTGGTTGTTTAAGTGTATACATAACTTCTCTTGGACTGTATAATGATATTATTGATTTAGTCCTATTATCGATTATTTCGATATAAAATCAAAAGACCGAAACAGCAATTTGGAGGACTTTGGGATATTTTCCAAACTTATTGCATGAACATTAAAATTAAGATAAATCTGATATAGTATTTTCAAGAGGTATTTAATAGAGTTCTAGTGAGAAGCCGTGATCACTGGAGTTCAACAGGGTCTGCTGTGACATAGTAACTCACTGAAGACAATAGTGGACTGTGGACCGATTTCATGGATTGGTTGAAGTTACACAGTGACACCGTTGGATATCGACTCAACGGTCTAGAGGTCAAGCGTTTGCGAGCGAGACTGAAGGCCCTCGATTCGAACTGCGCGAGCAAGATCGTGGGTGCGCACTCCTGAGGAGTTCCATACTAGAATGAAACGGCCATCCAGTGCTACCAGGTTTTCCAACGTGGTCTAACTTTGATCGACTCATGAGTTCAACTAACAAATAAAATATTGTCTAAAACTTAAGTTCTTGAATATTTTATACTTATAATTTATTCAATAATTTCATTTTTTTTCCCTAATATATTTTTAAGGATTTATGAACAAGTGATTCTTAAGTTTTGATAAGTCTTTTCAGGGATTTGAATAATTTTTTTACATTTTATTCTTTTGGTAAATTTGTTTTGTTTTTATTCAGACTTGAATAATTAATAAAATTTTAGTTGGCAACAATAATGAAAATGAAAGTCATTGTTATTATTATCTTATATCATTTCTGCCTAGTTGAATAAATAAATAGTCGATAGTTTAGTGTTTCTAGATTAACTAAAATTTATGCTAATGAAAGTAACCAATCATTTTATTAAGTTTCAGAATACGATTATAATTGTTGTCTTCGATAATTTCTAATTTTGAATCAGTCAGAATCTTCCAATATGAACTACAAAATATATAAACTCACTCAGGCCAGACGGATGATCCATAATAATGCCTAATCCATAAGCTAAGATGAAACTTTTAGGAAAGTTCCTTATGCAATTAAAAAAAGACGAAACTTCTCTGTTCACGTTAGTAACATCAAATGGTTCTGGAATAACAAAATTAACAAGCTAAAAATAACAACAGTTAATCAGTTAAAACCGATAGTCATTATGGAAATATGAATTTAAAATATTTTACTGAGTTTATCCTTTAAAAAATGTTATTATTTACTAACGAATACAAAACAACTTAAGGTCTAGCTAGTACATTTCATAGACAAAAAAGTGTATGTAAGATCACGTTGCTTATAAGTCATGACAGTAATTCCAAAATCATCAGCCTAAACATTTTTCATACACTGTATTTTGACTCATTAGTGAATTTTATGTGAAATGACAGAATTCTATAATTATTTTCTGAAACGTCTCTGCATTGTACCGCTTTTACAAAAAATAAACTTAAAGCATACTACAGATAAGTGTTTGGTTGTATATAAAGGCATTAGAAGTTCCTGTTATTACACATGACACCATCGAACTGCCATGTCGAAATTTAATGGTTTAGCTGTTCATTTTTATGAAATTTTTAGTATGTTACAACCATCATTCGATATCTTTGATGAATGATTATCTAACTATTATCTAAAATTTACAAATAATCGAAATTTCAGTGAAAAATAAAGCAGTTGTTTTATATTTCTTCCATTTATTTCTGAATGACGAGATTCTCATCTTCATGTAAAAATAGCACCTAATTGCAGAAATAACTTTTTTTTAGTATTTCGTTGTTTGATATCATCTAATGATTTCATAGAATACCTCTTGATGACGGAGTTCTACATAATTTGAATAAGTTAGGTTCATCAAACAAACAAAAACGAACAGTTGTGAATAAAGTTAATGTGATCTCTGTAGGTCTCTCGAAATTGTACAGAAATTAACTTTTAATAAATCTCTATAAGATAATATCTGTGTTAAATGAGAAGCATAATCACTGACAGTTTTCTAAACTAAAAAAACACAAGAATTATGACCAGTATTAAACAGAGTAATTGCATATTGTTAATCATCACATAAGTTGTCCCTTCAAAATAGAGAATCATTAATCAGATTATCAGAAAAACCGTGTACAAATGAATTCACTTTTTGACATTTCGAATCTTTTGAGATAAGATTGTTTTTGAATCTAAAAACATCTTGGCTCATCAATATTGATTTCGAAATTTAGAACATTTCATCGTCAAGTCAGCACTCTTTAAAATAGAAATAAACAATCAAAGGTTTTTCTCAAGGTCAAACTTTTTGTCACAGAATTCTGAGTCACTTCACTAACATTATATATTTCTAAGCAAATATTGATAGTGGCTAGCAGTGGAATTCAGGACGCGCGTTTTGTCCTAGTTGGAACTAGTCAGCTGGATGCACCTAAATTTCAGAGTTGATGTTCTTTCTTGGACTCTAACCCAGTAAAGTTCGGTTCAAACGCCATCACGTTATCAATTGCAGTACTAAATAACAATAAGGTACAAGTAAACAAAAACAAGTGAAATTAATCTTCACCCCATTGCACAAGCAGGTGGATAACAGGACTCAGAATGAGAGTGTATAAAATGATGACGTTTGAATTGAACGTATTCAGTTCGAGTTTTGAAGTGAACATCAAATGTGAGATGAAGGTGCATCACACTAACGAGTCCCAAAAACACGAGACGCGCATCCTGAATTCCAATGCTAACCACTATCCCTCTTTGCTTATAACGCTTGTTACTTCAGACATTATTGAGGTAATGCTCACAGAATGCACAAATACCAATAAGAGACTGATCAACTGCAGTCTTAGACAAAAATGGAAAGATACAAGCAAACAACAAGTGAATATTATATATTTCTGTTTCATCTTAAAAACACAATAATACATTGACAAGAATCTTGAAAATTATCATTTTTTGAAATCATTAATCGCTTGACCATTTGATGATGTATAACAATTATTTCTAATTTTCTGAAAATCTCATATTTCAAATTTCGAATATGATGCAGAAAGAAAACAGAATGAAATTAAAGTCACTCTATTGAATTAATTTGTAGAAATGTTTGGTTTTATTATATATTATATTACAACATTTTGCCTGATATTGTGAACTCTGATTGAAGGGCATAATTGAAAAACTAACCATAATATGTGTAGAAAATTGCTTTATTAAACATTTAATTCAAGGACAAAACGCGCATCCTGGATTCCAATGCTAGCCACTACCCATCTTTGATTAAAACGTTCGTTAATTAAAGCAATATCGAGGCTATGCGCACAATATGCACATATATCAACAAGAGACTGAAGTCATAAACATCAATGGAAATATTCAAGTAAACAATATCAAGTGAATGTAATACCTCAGTGTTATACATTCTGATTATATGATATTATTTCATAGTTATATTTTGAATGAATTAATAAGATTTAAAGTTCGGTGACATATGTCTCCTTAACTATTTCTTTTCATGTGGAAACAAATTTGTGATATCATACATGTAAGCGGAAGAATCTGTATTTATAACTCCCGTTATTTTAAACAATTACCTATAGGATATTTTATTTTAATTAAAGAATCAATTATTTGAGGAAAAGTACATACCGTGTAACTACTTTAATTATAATTAATTATATCAAAAGAATTTGATTATAAGAGTACAGTATTTCATACTAAACAGTAAAATTTAAAAATCAGCCATTCAATTACCATAATAAATTTCTTAGGAAACCTGGAATAATTCGTTCAATATTCGTAAACTATCTGTTATTGTCATAGTGTACCAACTTCAGCATCATTGGTATTAGCCAAGAGTTAGATTTTCATAGCAGTAAATAACGAGTAATGGTCAGTGAAGTATCCGATAACTTGGTATAAAATATTTTTATCTCTCAAATATTTGCAAGTAGTAAACACCTATATATCTTCAAGAATAAAGTAATCATCAATACCTTATGTCTTCAAAATCACAAACTTATAGTAAAGTAATATAATGTGTTGCATAATTTTCATTTCATATAACCTTTCTACATCAACCATTGATACTGCAGAAAGTCACTATTTGATTCTAGCTTTAGTTGTCAGGTTTTGAGAGTAAAAATGGTCAACAGTGAAAAGAGTATTGTATCATGAGTGTGATAAGTAATTATTTCCTCACGTCTTTTTATTTAGCCTAAATGTATTATTTCAGATTTATCAAACACGTAATAATTCCTAAATTGCTCTTGTTCAAAAACACTGATAATAATTGAAAGTTTTTTCTACCAACAAGGAAAACATGATTCAATCTCACTTTCTAGCTATGTGTTATGTATGAATTACTAAATTGAATAAATTGTATTTTGTAGCTTTTCATGATTTCAAAACACAATGGAATAATTTCTGAATGTTAAAACTATTCACTTTCCCAAACACTTATCACGTCTAGACTAACAACTGAATATACAGTTTCAAAGTTAACTACAAAACACTGATAATCAATTTCAGTGACATGGCTACAGGTAACAGGTTATTTACTCTTGTCCAATCATATAGGGAAATAATTCTAGAAGCCTTCTTATTGGTTATATTGTTAAGCCGATAATTATGAATGACTTCTATTTGTCCATTTAAATCTGTTTTAAAGATATGAGTTAAAAGAAAAGATGGCATATAATTTATCTTTAATGACTTTCAGTTGACTTCCTTACTAGCAAGAATGTTTAGTGCAATTTTAACTATTCTGATTAAAAATGAAAACATTTTAACATTATAATGTAAATTGTCATCTGTTATTCTCTTATCCTTGAATTTATGAATACAAAAATGAGTGATAAAAAAGTGCCACAATTTTTTATCCCAGCCTCTTATAAAGGTCACCAAACCAGTCCAACACCTGCTTCGTCTAACAATCCACGTTTACAAAATTCCACTGGTGTCAACGATGCACAACATCAACGAAATCCTACAAATCAACTGTCAACTGAATTGAATCCTAATTCCCCTGGAATAAAATTTGTTAATGGTAAACCAGGCGATCAGAAACAATCATTATTATTCCCTTCACCTACTGGAACATTAGATTTATCCCATTATAATTTTGTACCTACACAAGTAGACAATACTAATAACGCTATTATTACTACTACCGTTAATAATGATAGTAATAATAATAAAGATACTAGGTCTAAACGATTAAATGGTCGGCTATCCAATCAGGTGTCGGCAACAAATAATCGGTTAAATGATACACTCATTGATAATAATAATAATGCAGAATTTATGGATTCGGCACAAACAACTGAAAATGTTGAAAAAGAGAAAAAACGTCGACGTTTTCGTAGACCACGGAAAAATAGTAAATTAGATAGATTAATACGTTTTCTTGAAGATAAACGTGTCAAGGATGATGGTAATGGTGAAGAATTAGAAGATTTACAAATGCCAAGATTAAGAAAAGTTTTAAATATCATATTTGTAACACTAGGTGTTTGTTTTCTATTGGCTGTGATAATTGTCATATTGTATACAACATTTGCTGGGTAAGTAATTATTTCCTTTATATTTATAATCACTTATATAGTAGCTTAGCATCATTAAGGTTGATAAAAATACTTTATTGCACAGGGTAAGATTTCATAAGTTTTCTTAAGAAATACTCCAGTCCAATCTTAATTCATCGACTAGGGAAATTCCCATTAGTATATTTACTGTAATTAGATATATGTAGGAAACCGGAAATGAAAACTATTAAGTATCTGGCAGTTATTCCTTTTATGATAGTCATTTATGGTTCGTATTCAGCATGGCGACTGAGGAAATATTGGGAGGAAAAACCGGGATATAGTTGTAGCTTAAAGCATGCGCCAGTTATTCTTTAAAAATGGATGGTAGAAAGGAATAAGATACCGATCTTTAATACGTAATTCTATATTGTTATTAAAAAAGATTATGAGGGTTCATTCGTGGTAAATCTCAAACTAAAATTTAACATCTATCTAGTGTTTCTTGTTTGTCCATAATTCTTCAACTGATTTCATTTTCTTGATAAAAACTATCTTCGGACTTTTCCGTTTTGGTACTTTACAAAGTCCCTAGTTTTGATATCCTTTATTCTGTAGGCAAACAAATTGTAGATTTTGAAATGAAATGTTATAATTATAACTCGCAGAACCAAACAACATTACAGTTCAGTAATAATTAATTAATGCACAGACGTAAACATTAATCATATATTGTATTTATGAATATTCTTTGTTCATTTTCTACAAAATAGTTGGTTTCATCGTTCATCTGAAATACAATATTTCATACTTATATGTAGACGATCGTATCATCAATAGTTACACTGTCAGTATATAAAGAAACCACTAAACTAAAGTAAATATGAACTCATTTAGTATTGTTTGTTTGAATCTTCCCATCGATGTGTCAGGACTGCAACTGAGTGAGTCTCTAATTGGCATATGTGAATATTGTGCGTATTGCCTCGATATAGCCTTAATGCACAAGCATTAAAATCAAAGATGGATAGTGGCTAGCAGTGGAATCCAGGACGCACGTTTCGTCCTATTTGGGACTCGTCAGCTGGATGTACCTGCATCTCAGAGTTGATGTTCATTCTGGGACTCGAACCCAGTACCCTCGCTTCAAACGCCATCGCGTAATCCACTCGGCCACTGAGTCCTGATAGCCACTTGCTTGTGCGATGGGTGAAGTTTAAACTCATTTAGTATTGTTTGTTTGAATCTCGATGGGAAGATTTTTATCATTGTCAATAATTGAATAATTTGATCCCTAATTCTAAGAAGAGGTGTTCCTTGTTGGTTGACTATGAACTATATGTTTTATATAACCTACAACTACTTTATATCAATTAACAATAGGATTTATATTATGTAGAGAAGTTTTAATACAAAATCTTATATTGATCAAATTAAATTAAACCAAATGGTAAAAACTTATCTAATATTATTACAGATTTTGATTGTATGTGAAATAAAAAAATTTTTAACCTTGATAAATTAATATCAGTTGAACCGAAAGAAAAGAATTAGATCATAAACAAGTGTGTTGTTCACCTTTATCATCAACAGGGAAATATAACTACTAATCCACTTTAGTAGATCATTTAAAGATCGTTATTGTCCATTCAGTTCTGTACAAGAATGATTGATTTCCCTGATGTTTTTATCGCTGTTTCATTGACAATTGAAAAAAAGGAAACCTTTAAATGTTTGAAAATGTATATCCGTAGTATTTTATCTTATAATACTAAACTAAGTAATCTTATATCTGTATATATTTGAGTAACAAAATCGGTAGTCATATTATTGATTCAGTGTTTACGCAATTGCATCAAAGAAACTAGTTATGATAGTGATATAAACGGTAAGGATACTTGTTATAACGCTAAGGTTTCTTGTTATAGCAGTCCTTTCACTTCTTACACGTATGTGGGAAGCTAATTTATCTTAGACGAATATCTACACTAGATTCCCTCCCAGTGTCTATTCTACAGGACTTCAACACAACTCAGATCAAGAATACGAGATTTGCCTGACTAGAACGTCAATATATTTCCACACCAAAATCCGACACAATCCAACAACAAGGAACAGTCAATACATAATAAGGATAGGGGAATACATATAACACATATAACACCTGTCATCCTACCCAACCATTGTCATTCTCGCTCACATATCAGATAATCACTTTCGCCAATATTACAGTTCATACTAAAGTTTTACTCATTTTATGAGAAAAATAAGCATTCGGCTAATCATTGATGATTGAACAAAATTAATAATTGACCTCAGAGTTTATTATCTTTATGATAGTTAAAAACGACTCAACATATGTGGGAATGTTCATCTCATCAATCTTGTCTTATTGAATTAACTCTGAGATATGTTTTACTTTAGATATTTCACAATTAGAATAGACTAAAGAATAAAACTGAAAATATGTGCCTTGGAATACCAACCAATTGGTTTGTCAGTTAGTTTCTATTCATGAAACCTAAAGTTTTGAGGTTCCGTCTCTATGATGCCCAGTATCAAAGAATCTCATACTGTGACGAACCAGCTGTATAGTGTTCTCTGGTTTTGAATAATTCTTTTGTTCTTTCATTGAGGAACACCACCCATAACATAAAATAACATTTTGTTTATTTCGTATAATGATTGTGCATTAAAAAAATATGACTGGCTCAATTCACTTTTACTGCGTATCCACTTTATCAATTTACTACTTATAAGTAGAATCTTTCAAATTGAAACATTTCAATTTTTCTTTTGATGAATTATTTAAAACGTATCCCATTTTTATTGACTTTTTCGTAACATAACCTACTAAATGAAATCAATATACTTGGACATGTATATATTAGGAGGCGAGAGAAAAATCATAAATTGTATTCAAGGCTAACTTAACATGTACAAAATAACTTCGATAATTCAATAGAAGTAGATGAAAAATTTTCACCTTCATCTAATGCTAAATATAAATGGGAAAGCATTTTAAAAGATTGACCTAAAAACAAACAAAATAACTGAGTATTAAGAAGATTAGGGTTGGAGATTTAAATTCATTGAAGTTCTAGCCATAAGGAAATTCAAACTTCCTTTGTATATTCAAAAGTACTTTATGCCTTCATTACACCTACCCCGGTTAATATTGATTTCGACTTCGATAACAAGAATGATGCGAGTAATGTTGTTTTTTTGCTATTGCTAATGTTCTCAAGACTTTATTTATTTGATTTGATACTTTTTATTTCCTATTTAAATAAGTACTTTATGGAGTTTATATATTATCAGATTATTTAAAATGTATAGAACTATAATATATCACGTATCTCTTATAAACTATATTTCCTCACAAACGAATCTACAAGCTACATACGTTTCATCGGATCACACTACACAAAACCGATAGACCACATTTGCATCCCTAAAAAATTCAAAAGGTCAATGGAAGACATGAGAACAAAGGAGGAGCTGACATAGCTTCAGATCAACACCTAGTGATTGACAAGATGAAACTAAACCTAAAGAAACACTGGATAACCGGAGAAACGGCATTACAAAGATTCATTATAGTCTTCCTTCGACATACTGACAAACTCAATGAATTCAAAATATCTATCAACAACAGGTCCCAAGCTTTACAAGATCTACTGAAAGAACAAGAAACTACCATAAGGGACAGTTGGAAAGAGATCAAAGAAGCACTTACTCCAAGTTGTTGGCGGACACTGTACCACGAGAAACATCGTCATAAAGGATGGATCTCACTTAAGACCCTGGACAAGATTCAATAAAGGAGAATAAGAAGGCAGAAACTAACAGCAGTTGAATAATCAAGGCACAGATCGAATACACAGAAACGAGCAAGCAAGTGAAGAAGAGCATTAAAACTGACAAGCAGAAATATGCGGAAGGCCTAGAAGCGACAGTGGAAAAGGCTGCGACAGAACAAAGCATGAGACAACTATATGACACGACGAAGAAACCAACAGGAAAATATAATAAACCCGAACGACCAGTCAAGAACAAAGAAGGGAAGCCGATCACTTAGATTCGAGTACGGCACAACTAGTGTGTACGACACATTTTGATAACTCTTGAATAGATCGGCCTCACTAGATTCATCAGACGCTTAAGTAACACACACAGACCCTCCTATGACCGTCACTCCACTAATAATCGAGGAAATCAGAATAAACATTAGACCAATGAAGAGTGGGACCTGACATTATATCAGCTGAAGCCCTGAAGTCACACATAAAAGTAACTGAGAAACTGTTCTACATTCAATTGAAAAAGATTTGTGAGGAGGGACAGGTGCTGAAAGATTGGGAAGAAGAGTATCTCATCATGATATCAAAAAAAGGAGATCTGAGAGAATGTGAGGACTACAGAAGCATCACACTACTATCAATACCATGAAAAGTTTTGAGCAGAGTGTTACTGGACCGGATGATGGATTCAGTAGATACCCAGCCTTGAGATTCACAGCCGGAATGCCGTGAGGATCGTTGTGTACAGACAGAATCGAGACACTACGGATCGTCTTTGAGCAATCAATTGAACGTAACGCGTCACTCTTCATCAACTTCCTTGACTATGAGAAAGTATTTGACAGTTTGTATAGAAGAACCTTATGGAACTTTCATCGACACTATGGGGTAAGCAGATGAGAGGATCATCAATATCGTGCGGAATTCACACGATGGACTACATCGTAGAGTCCTGCATGGATTGCAGCTGACAGATGCATTCCAAGTGAGGATCGGTGTCAAACAAGGCTGCTTACCGTCTCTCAACTTTTCTCCTTCTTACGGTGGTTGACTGGATCATTAAGACCTTTACATCTCGGTGGAATCACGGAATGCAATGACAGCTTGGAGGAAACTAGACGATTGAGACTTCACAGATGAACTGGCCCTACTACCCTATACACATGAACAAATACAGATGAAGACAACTAGTGTGGCATAAGCCTCTGCATCACTAGGCCTCAATATACACAAGGG